CACACACACACACACACACACACACACACACACACACACACACACACCAGATCCAGTCAAAGTGGTGAAACCTTCCCAGAGCCGTGATCCTGAGATGGCTGCTTGCGAGGCAGAACTGCCCGGTGCCTAGAGGACATGGACACCTGTTCCGGCTTTACCATTTTCTATGTAATCTCGAAGCTTCACATCCTAGGTGTGAAAATGATGACAGTAATGTTTTTCTCATAAAGTTATGAGAATGAGATGGTGCCTAAAAGTACCTGGCCGGTCACAAGTACTCAATGAACTCAGAAAGCCTTCTACATTTATGAGTTTCCTTTTTGTGACCATACTACAAGATGTTCATTCAGAAATGTTTGGTGTACAGTCATTCCATAGGCACATTTTTCCTATTCCCTTCCCTTAACAAACTCTTACAGTGGGTTTTGTTGTGCCTCATGGCTTCTCTCTTATGGTAAACAGTACTGTTTAATAAATACCATTGTGCTGTGACTTGGATAGGTGGATCTCTGAGGTTGAAGCCAATCTGGTCTCAGAGTGAGTTCCAGGACAGTCAGGGCCGTGTAGAAAGACCCTGTCTCAAATAAATAAAAAAAAAATTTACAAAATGAAGAAAGAAAAAATGATTTGAATTCCTTGTTGTTAACACACATTTTATAGTATTTAGTTAAATAAAAAGACATATTTGACAAAAAAAAAAAAAAAAAAAAAGAAATGTTTGGTGCATGGTGACATTCTAGAAGCTGGAGGTGAGTCAGAGGTGCCAATCTTCCTCTTGATAGTGGTTCCACGTGTACATACATCCCGAGTTGAACACTGCTCATCAGTGCCAGTCTTCAGACTCCATAAGCTATGGCCCCATAGGGCTGGCTTTCCCCCGGGAAAAGGTCAAGCCCCTAATCATCTCCTTCTCATTGCAGCTTCACCCCTGCAGTAGAGCTCAAGGAGAAGGGCAAGAAGGGGAAGGCCGTTCACTTCGCCGAGATGGACGGGGCGGCTTCAGAAAGGTGGCTCCCCTTCGACCACGCCGCCTCACAGCGGACTCGCTTGTCTTTGCAAACTCAAAGAGATACCCGTCCTGTTTTCCTAGGTTGCCATGCAGATATCCACCCCGGGAACACAGGCAGGGTCTCAGCTACAGCAGGAGTTACAAACAGCCCCTAGACATTCATTCCGTTGATAATGTGGCTACTAGTACATTTTAAACTTGTTACATTTTTCTTTTAGTCTGAAAATACTAGCGACACCAGAATTTCACTCATATCTATCTATCCATCCATCCATCCATCCATCGTGCTGGAGATAAAAGCCTCACACATTCTAGCAAACATCCTATCACTGAACCACATCCTCAACCCATTAAGTGATTTAAATGATCTATTTGAAAGTTGAGCACTGGTAGCACATGCCTTTAATCTCAGCACTCAGGAGGCAGAGGCAGGCAGATCTCTGAGTTTGAAGCCAACCTGGTCTACAGAGTGAGTTCCAGGACAGCCAGGGCTACACAGAGAAACCCTACCTTGAAAAAACAACAACAACAAAATGATCTATTTGAGTTTACATTTTATATCAGTATGCATGCTTCCACTCCTATGATAAATGCATTATTCAAAAGTGCATTCTGAAACAATACTGCATTAAATGGAACCCGTGCATGACACTCAAGCTCTCATTACCTTACAAGCAAATTCTCAAGCATCTCAGTACGTACTAAATACAACTAGATCTTTTAAAAATACTCTCTGAGGGATAGAGCGGTGGCTTAGAGGTTAAGAGCACTGGCTGTCCTTCCTCTAAGATTTGACTCTCAGAACTAACAGGGTGGCTCACAGGTGACTGTAATTCTACATGGGGGATCCAACACCCTCTTTTGGCCTCCTGGAGCACTGCACGAATGTGGTGCACAAACATCCAAGCAGGCAATCCCCTCCTCCCCCCATACAAATAAAATAAAAATCTTAAAACAACAACAACAAAATCACCACCTGAGCCTATTCTATACCCAAACAGGTTGACAGATAAAAGGCTTACCTCAAGGGACGAAAAGTCGGTGAAAGCCCTGGAGAAACGCTACCAGCATGGCAACGTCACGCTGGACGACGTCAAGTGTGAGTCGCTTTCTTCCTCGCCGCCCTCCGGTGCGATGCCGCCTCCAGCATCCCGGGGCCGCTCTCTGCGTCGTCTAACAAACTGCCTCCTCTCTTTCAGTTGTCGCGCTGCTTTCGCTCCAGGACACTGAAATGCAGCGGGTCTGCTCTTTCACGACGTTCATGAGGTAAAGCTGCCCTCCGCAAGGGGAAGGAAGTGAACCAGGCCTGGGAAGTGGAAACCGATCTGATTCTTAGAGAAAGAGCACACGGTGCCTCTGTGCAAGCCATCCTCGCAGCGACTAGAGAGTGTGGGGGAGATACCTGAGGTCACAGGGGCCCCAAGACAGAGATGCTCCAAAGTCCTAGAGCAAGGGGGAAGAGCGACTTGCCTGTGGACAGCCGGTATTCACAAGTGGCCACTTCCGGAGTAAGATGTTTACAAAAGGATGGGAGAAGAGAACTTCATCTATTTCTGTACTTTGGTTTGTATTTTGAGATAGGACTGTGCTGTGGAGAAGTTTTCTCTCCGTTATGTTTAGCAGCCCAGGCTGGCCTAGAACTTAAAATCGCCCTGATTGCTGGGGTCACAGGTGTGAACCACCATGCCCAGCCTGTACATTTTACAAACAATGGAAATATGTTGCTTACAGAGCAAATACTTGTGAAGTGATAAAAAAATTATTAATAGTACATTAATAATTTAACATCTGACTTTCCAGAAATGTGTTTCTCAGATGTTTTTTTATATCTTCATCACAACGGGTAGAATTTGAGATAGTAAGTTAATTGTGTGATAGGTTTGGAACCACATATTTCTATTTATTCTTACACTGTGTCCCCCATTGTTTTTCATAAGAAACCTAATGTTTGCAATCAGGAGTGCTGATTTCTTTTTTTCTCTTATCATAAATTTCCCTGCAGAAATAAGAGTCTTGACAACTTCCTTATGGCACTTTTATACTATCTGTCTTATTATGTGGAGAAAATCTCAATGGAAAAGAAACCCCAAAGCTACATGGTGTGAGTAAGATTTTATAACACGCTTGAGACTTTTTATTTCTGGCAGTATTATCTAGGGTGAAGGGATGATGGCGTCTCTTTTAAGTCTGGTCTAGGAAAACATTCTTCATGGGAGGCTTTGCTCTGTTTTAAAGCTCACTGAGCAATCACACAGGAATTCTCATACTGAAACATTCCAACAAGCGCAGATCAGCACTGCTCCATGCTGAGATATAATGAAAGCCATATTTGTAATTTAAAATTTTCACCGGGTGGCACACGCCTGTAATCCCAGCACTCGGGAGGCAGAGGCAGGTAGATCTCTGTGAGTTCCAGGCCAGCCTAGTCTACAGAGCGAGTTCCAGGACAGCCAGAACTGCTATATAGAGAAACCCTGTCTCAAAAAAAAATTCTAATTATGTGTCTTAAAAATATAAAAAAGAGGGGCTGGAAAAATGGCTCAGCAGTTAAGAGCACTGGCTTCTTTTCTGGAGAACTCAGGTTCAATTCCCTGCATCCATATGGCAGCTTATAACTATCTATAACTCCAATTCCAAGGGATCTGACATACTCCCACAGACACAAATGCAGGCAAAACATCAATGCACATGTAATAAAAATAAACAAATAAATAAGATACATAAAAAAATAAAAGATACAGGTAATATGAAGTTAAATTGTTATTTTATCCAACCCAGTGACTTAAAAATATTATGTTAATATGTAGTCTATACTAGGATGTTACTATTTTATTTATTTATTTATTTATTTATTTATTTAGGCTTTTCGAGACAGAGTTTCTATAGCATGAATCTTAAAGGGTCCTATTAATAAAACAAACCCGGGACCAGATATTGGGGTGAATGCTGGAAGATCAGAGAAGCAGAACAGGTCACAGCTTACCTCACCTTGCCATTTCCTCAGCTGATCCTGTTTCCTCAGACTGGAAACCTCTGAGTCCTCATCCAGAATGAATCTCAGCTGAACTCCTGCTCCAAAGCCTGAAAGCTTAACCAGCTAAAAGCTTCTAGTTTCTGGTCTTCATTCCTTATATACCTTTCTGCTTTCTGCCATCACTCCCTGGGATTAAAGGATTAAAGGTGTTAGTCACCATGCTTGGCTGTTTCCAATGTGGCCTTGAACTCACAGAGATCCAGACAGATTTCTGCCTCTGGAATGTTAGGATTAAAGGCATGTGCTACCACTGCCTAACTTCTATGTTTAATATTGTGGTTGTTCTGTCTCTGACCCCAGATAAGTTTATTAGAGTGCACAATATTTCGGGGAACACAATACCACCACAGGTTTCTCTGTGTAGCTTTGGCGCCTTTCCTGGAACTCACTCTGTAGGCCAGTAGCCCAGGCTGGCCTTGAACTCACAGAGATCCGACTGCCTCTGCCTCACGAGTGCTGGGATTAAAGGCGTGCGCCGCCGCCGCCGCCGCCGCCGCTGCCGCCCGGCTGGATGTTACTATTTTAAAATAATTCTTTCCTTTAAAAATTTGTATTCTTTCTTTGTGTGTGTGTATGTGTGTGCATTATATGCATGTGTATGTTATATGCATGCATATGTGTGTATATTATATGCATGTGTATGCATGTGGTATGTGCACGTGTGTACATGTGGGAGGTAGTGTGTTCATCCATGCATGGGCACATAGAGGCCTGAGGTCTGTGTCATATCTTCCTTGGTCACTCTCTACTTTGTGTTTGGAGCTTGCTGTTTTTCAGCTAGACTGGCTGGCCAGAGCACCCCAGGAATTCGCCTGTCCCATTTCCCCTCAGAGCTGAGGTCACAGATGCCTGCCACCATGCCGAGTTCTCACATGGGTGCTGGGGATCTAAACTCAGGTCCTTGAGCCCTAGCAGCAACCACGCCGCCTACTGGACCATCTCCCCAGCCCCTTAGGATGCTATTAATGGGATGCTTTTGCTTTTCCTGTCATCTCCAGGGTCTGGTGTCTCTTGTGTCTATAGCATCTCAATTCAGATGAAGCCCTCGAAGTGCTTGGCAGGCCCTCACAGCTGGTGATATCAGCACAGAACCATGCAGGGCCTCTCCAGCGCCACCTCTTTCTCTTCTCATGTTTTTTGTCTGTTTGTTTAGAGACAGGGTTTCTCTACTCTGTGTCTCTGGCTGTCCTGGAACTCAGTCTGTAGACAAGGCTGGCCTTGAACTCACTGAGATCTGCCTCCCGAGTGCTGGGTTTTAAAGGAGCAGGCTAACCACCGTCCAGCTATTCTCATGGTTTTTATGCTTACAAAATCTATGCTAAAAGGATTGTAAGCATCTTATAACAAATGGCAAGGTATTTTAAAAAGTAGATTTGGCTGAAACTAAAACCTTCTCCGTCAAAGGAAAATCGACGCAGTTTCTTAACCTGTCTGTAGAAAACTTGCCTGCACTGGTAGGCAGCAGTGGCCTAGAGATAAACACCAGAGCCACGATCTGGGAACTTGGAGTCCAGAACACAACAATGCCTCTCAGGCTTAGTGACCTTTCACAAACCATGGAACTTTCCAAGTGCCCAGGCTGTCCTGTCCCCTCCCCTCCCCCCAGCCTCGTTCGTGTGGAACCAACTCAATGATTTAACTATTAGGAGTGTTGGGGAGGGCCGATAATTTGTTGCTACAGAATGTTTTTCAAATATAAAACTCTCGGATCTGATCAAGCAGCTGGAGAAACGTTTTGTGAAATGACAGATGTCCCTGCACAGCAGTTTTGTAAGGAACCAGATACACACTTCAGACACTGCTGGGCCTCTCATGCCACCATGATCCACACAGAGTGTTATTTCAGGGTGGCATCTCACAGCAGGGCAGCCAGAGCGGGAAGCGTTTCTATGGCAGCATCAAAAGCTAAAGCCAACTGCGGCTTAGGAGGCTTGAGGAGTCCTCTTGTTCCCAAACTGAGCTCAGTAGGTTTTCATGGCTCTTTGGCTTGTCACAGTCTTCTGGTTCCTTCCAATTCTGAGGCTTCTTACTAATCTAGCTAATTATTACTAATCTTGTTTTATATATTAATTTATAAGTAACAGAGAAGAAAGTTTTCCTGGTAAGTTTTTCAATGCACTGAAACTAATGCATTGAACACAGTGGTATAAGAAAACAAACGAACTCAGAGCTTCAATTATGGGATCTCGAAATCATGATCACCTTTCATTTTCGTGTGTCCAGTAGTCAGTTGGTCCTACTTCTTTATAACAGAGTTAAATATAGATTGTGTTGGGGTATTTACACAGAGGAAAATATGTGATTCCAGTTGCACAAAGTTAATAAATGTCAAGCCTTAAATTCTAACTTACTGGCTGTGTGAGTGGTATTCCTTTTATCCCTTTTGCTTATTTATTTTGAAAATTTCCTGTTTCTTTGATAGATAAATAATAATTGCAGACCAGGCATGGTGGTGCATGCCTTTGATCTCAGCACTTGGGAGGCATTAGCAGGTGGATCTCTATGAGTTTGAGGCCAGCCTCATCTACATAGTGAGTTTCAGGCCAACCAGGGCTACATAGTGAGATACCCTGTCTCAATAAATAATAATAATAATAATAATAATAATAATAATAATAATAACAACAACAACAACAATAATTTTGTATTGAATTTTTTGAAGTTTTTTTGAGACAGTCTTATTTAGCCCAGAATGACCTTGAAATCATTATGTATCTGAGGTTGATCTTGAATTCCTGATCCTCCTGCTTCAATTTCCCAAGTGCTGGGATTATGGGCATGTGCTACCATGCTCAGCTCAGAATTGAATATCTTCATTCATAAAATTTCTCTGTCTGATTTTGGATAATTTTTTTTAAAAAAGAATTTCCAAGAGAGATCCTATGGGACCAAAGCTTATAATCACTTCCATGTCTCTTTAAATTCTTTTCAAATGTTTTTTTCCATAGCACATGCACTACCTCCCTACTCCTTCATTTGCATGTTTGAGGATTATGTGTGTTGATTCAGGTGAACCACTAACTGTGTTTAAAGACTGTTGAAGGGTTGAGGATGCAGCTTAGCTGGTAGAGCACTTGCCTAACATACACAAAGCCCTGGGTTCAATCCCCCGTACTGCATAAACCTGGTAAGGTAGTGTAGCCTGTGATCTCAGCACTTGGGAGGTGGAGGCAGAAAGATCAGATCCTTAGCTACACAGTGAGTTCAAGTCCAGCCTAGGCTACATGATACTCAGTCCCCATCCCCACCCCAACCCTACACACAAATGTTTGAGGCAAAGAAGACACCAAAACCATCGAGGGGAATGATTTTCAGACACAGAATATTGATGCAAGCAGACCAGCGTTGCCTAGAAGTTTGTATTGCGGTTATTTTTCCTTTGGCTTTGGTTACAGAGCTTTGCCCCTTCCTTCTACTTCAACAGAGCTTGAAAATGATGTATTAGTTTGAATTGTGTGTAAATGTGTGTGTCTGCATATCGGTGTGCGCACGTGAGTGCAGCCACTCTGGGAGACCAGAGGAGCCGGGACCTCTGGGGCTGGAGTTACAGGTCAGGGGCCACGTGGGTGCAGGGAACTGCACTTGGGTCCAGGGAACTGAACTCGGGTCCTCTGGCAGAGCAGCAAGTGCTCTTAACTACTGATTCATCTCTCCAGCCCTGGGTTCTTTTTGTTTTTGTTAATTTTTTAAAATTACATTTTATTTCTTTGTTTAGTGCGTGCGTGCTGCATGCATGCGTGCGTGCGTGCGTGTGTGCGTGCGTGTGTTTAAAGGTTAGAGGACAATTTTTCTAGAGTCCGTTCTCCTACCATGTAGGTCCCAGGGATTGAACTAATGGCATCAGGGTTGATGACAAGCACCCTTAACTGCTGAGCCATTTTGAAAGCCCAACACGCAGGTTCTTTATGTATATTGCAAAGTGAGTCCCCAGCTTCATAGTCAGTGGGAATGATAGTTTTAATTTTCCTGGGCTCTCTCCAGAATCTGGAGATGGGGTCCCATTGGGACTCTGTACTTTGAGCAAGTACCTCAGGATAGTTTTCCTTGATGATTGAGTAAAACCTGAGAACCATTGTCCAAATGTTGGAGAGCATCCCTTGATGGCTGTTTGGTTGGGTTTCTATAGCAAAAGAAGAGGATTAGCCAGTGGAGTCTCTGGCGAAGGAGGCTGGAGGCAGGCGCTGGGATGTGGTCTGCAGGCTGCACGTAGAGGGTGTGTTTGCACTGTACATCTGGGATCTTCAAGTTGAAGCCCACTTTCTCTATCCCAGAAACTCACTTTACTCCAGTGACTCACAAGCCTTGTGTTGCCTGTGATAATGCTTCATGCCGTGTGACGGACGGTCCAAGCTATCCTTGAACTCATCCTTCGCCACTCACAGCGTGTCTTCAGATGTTTTGTTCTTTGTTTTTTGTTTTCCTAGACAGGGTTTTTCTGTGTAGCCCTGGCTGCCCTAGAACTCACTCTGTAGACCAGGCTGGTCTCGAACTCACGGAGATCCACCTGCCTCTGCTTCCCAAGTGCTGGGATTACACGTGTGTGCGCCACCACCTCCCAGCTCTGTCTTTACACCATTGGTGCAGCAATTCACTTGAGAAGGAGCAGTAATTTGTCACCATTGGGAGCGAATTCCATTCACTTTCCAGTGACACTCAACAGTATCGTCAACAGTACTGTCTCCTACCATGCTTTACCGCAAACACTTAGAATTAGACTTCAGACCCGCTCTAGCCCAAGAACAAGTGTCTTACAGAGGTCCTTTGCAATCCAATCAGAGCTGGGCTGTGTTTTCATAGGGAAGTGATGTGCTCACACTTGATGCCAGAATCCACGGAGTAGTGGCCAGCAAATGGCTCCCTACCAAGCAGAGCCAAGCTCAGAACTGGGAGCAGCCTGCAATCGGGCACAGAGTGCCTGAACTTAATAGCAACACCAGGGCCTTGGGGAGAGCTGAGGTGGCAAAGAGTCTCCACAAGTGTTTTAGAAAGAGCAGGGATGGGAGCAGGCAGCTGCCCTGCAGCCGGCGCCAGTAACTTGTTACTGGAGCGTTCTATAGGAATTAGGATTCACTGTGAATATAGTTGAGGATACATAAAGAGCATCAAATATAAGGGACCTATCCAAGTGACATTCACCCTAAACTTGAGATGCTGCCTCGAGTGATTAATAGCCATAAGAGGCTTTGAGGGGCTGTAGAGATGGGTTAGATAGATGTAACCAACCGTCTTATTAAATAAGAAACACAGAACCAATGTAAAAGAGAAAGCCGAGAGGTCAGAGCTCAGAGCTAAAATCTCTCCCTTCCTCCTGCGGTGGCCCTAGCTCTCCGAAAGAGAGCTACTTCCTGTGTGTGTATATCTTTTCATAGTCTTTTTGTTCTGCCTTCTCATTGGTTGTAAACCCAAACACATGACTGCCTCGTCACTGTCTGTATGTACAGCCCCCCAGGTCTTAAAGGCGTATGTCTCCAATGCTGGCTGTATCCCTGAACACACAGAGATCTACCTAGCTCTTCTACCAAGTGTTGGGATTAAAGGCGTGTGCCACCACCGCCACACTCTTGCTATGGCTCTAATAGCTCTGACCCCTGGGCAACTTTATTTATTAACATACAATCAAAATCACATTTCAGTACAATTAGATTACCACCACAGATGGGTTGGCAGTTAAGAGCACTGACTGCTTTTCCAGAGGTCCAGGGTTTAGGTCCAGCCCCCACATAGTGGCTTACAACCACCATAACTCCTGTCCAGTGCCCTGTCTTGTGTGGGCACTGGGCACCAACACAGTGCACTTAACATAAATACGTGCAAAAAGCATTCAAATAAAAAAATCTATCTTTTTCAAAAGAGAAAGAGAGATTTTGAGGATTTTCCCCATGCCAGAACTCAAGGAAGTCAAATTGGTGAGTGCAATTTGTTGATTCATTACTGTTTCTTTTAAATAGCCTATAATTCTGACTTCTTGCTCGTTACTACAGACTTACACCAGAATTAATCTACCTTGTCTCTCTGCTTGCCCCCAGAGGCCTGGTAGAGAAAAAAGAGATAGAGCTGGTTATGAGCAAGTTAGAAGACGCACAGAAGAACCTGGCCCAAAAGTACTGCTTCCTCGTGCTGGGCGTGGGCATGGCGGACAAGCATCACATGAACTGTGGAAAGTACGCATGCGCTTCAGCTGCCCTTAGGTTGGCACATCCCTAGCACCTGTCCATTTGACTTGTGGTACCCCTGAGAAAGTGTTCCCTCTAATGGGGCTCAGGTGAGAATCTGTCCCAAGCACTAATGATAACTGCGTTGAGAGAGCCAAGTAAGTATTGGAAGGCATTCCGGAGTCTCAGCCAGCATTTTATAAACTTCTCCATCTTGGGATGAATGAGATCACTTGTTCTCTCTGTGGAATCTCGTGCAGCCTGAGGACCTGGGCTGCTTGGCTGTCTCAGGAGGAGACCAAGTAATGACCAGTGTTGTGTGGGGGAGGGGAGCAGTGTCTGCTTCTCGTGCAGCAACCACAGCTGTGAGGACCACCAGTTTGAGACACCACTGTCTGTAGGAAACTGTTTTTTGTTTGTTTTGTTTTGTTAACCTCAGGATGCCAATGCCTACATACCATAGCTAAAACCCAAAAGAGGCTCACAGCTCAGGAGAGTTTGAACTTACAGGGTGGGGAGCTTTGGTTCTTGACTCTGAAGTGCCTCAGGAGTTTCACAGTGGCCCAGGAGCCACGCCTTGAGCACAGGAAAAGAAAGGAGTATAAGACATCCCTCGTGTGTCTTCCGAGGAGTGTACTGACTCAGTTGTCCTGGATACCTGTTTTCAGCCTGCATTTCCTGTGCTTTCTTTCACACCCCCCTCCGTACACAGTCTCAGTAGCAGCTTTGGGCCTGCTGTTGTGTGGGGGAACCATCCAATCCACCATTCTTCACTGTTCATCACATATATACTCTGTTCGTATGTATTCTTTGTGTGTAGTTTCAATAGCGGTTATAGGGATTCTGTTGTGCGTCTTAGCCATTTGATCCACCGTTCTTTTTTGTGAACACGTACATGGTTTGAGCTTTTCTGTCTTACATTTTCACTTTGAACATTTTTGTCCACATTACATTTGGGCTATTCCCTTATGACTTATTACCCAGAACATGTTTAACTAGAAAGTGCAAACCATTAAATGATCATGCTGTATACTGTCAGTTAACGGCAGGCACGTTATGTCAGTGATGCGTGCCTATAGTATGAAGCACCTGGGAGGCTGAGGCAGGAGGGTCACTTGAAGACCTCCCTGGGCAATACAGTGATGTCCTATCTCAAACAACAACAAAACAGAGGATTCCAGAGCCCTCTCCAGCGCTCCCACATGAGGAGCCAGGAGCCTTAGTTCTAGTGGTCAGCTAGTGGTGGCGCACACCTTTAATCCCAGAACTCCGGAGGCAGAGGGAGGTAGATCTCTGAGTTCAAGGCCATCCTCATCTACAGAGCACGTTCCAGGATAGCTAGGGCTACACAAAGAAACCCTGTCTTGGGAAAAAAAAAAGTCTTCTGTTACCATCCATTCTTAAGTTTATTTGGCTATCATGGAGTTTATGACAAATTCTTTTGAAAGTTTAAAGGTGTATATATAAAGCCTCAAGGTGTTTTTATCTGGCTATCTACTTATTTAGTTTTAACCCTTACCAAGGAAGAAATAGGAATCTGTATAGATTGTGTGTGTCCCATAGCAAACACTGGTCATGTGTCCTACTTTGCCGTTTCCTGCAATTTATATACATTAGAAAAATGGTCTACATTTTTATTTATGTGAATTTGTCCAACTTATTTCTGATACCCTTTGATAATCATACAAGTTCTTCTGGGGTTAAACTGCTTATCTTTCTTTCTTAGTTTTAAAACATCACATTAAAAATGCTGCATTTTGACCCATTTGAAATGTGTCACGTACATCAGGTGACCCACGAATCCAAGATACCTTTCCTTACTAGTACTCCCTTTTCCGGTACTATTTGTGATTTTTCTCTATTGCAGCATTTTTTGTTTATAAGATGTTGACTTTTTCTAGTATTTTAATCCAACCTGGGAAGTTAATATTGAATTTTATTGATCAGTGTTTCTGTTTTAAACAGAATTCTACAATTTACTTTTTTTTTTTTTTTTAAGATTTATTTACTTATTATGTTAACAGCATTCTCCCTGCATGTTTGCCTGCATGCCAAGAGAGGGCACCAGATCTCATTACAGATGGTTGTGAGCCATCATGTGGTTGCTGGGAATTGAACTCAGGACCTTTGGAAGAGCAGCCAGTGCTCTTAACCACTGAGCCATCTTTCCAGCCCAGGTTTTTGTTTTTTGTAATAGTTAGCATTTTTATTAAAAAAGTTTATCATACAATATATTTTGATCATGTTTTTCCCTCCGCCAATTCCTTCTAGATCCTCCCTACCTATCCAACTTTATGTTTTCTCTTTCTTCCTTTCTTCCTTTTTTCCTTCCTTCCTTCCTTCCTTCCTTCCTTCCTTCCTTCCTTCCTTCCTTCCTTCCTTCCTTCCTTCCTTC